ATGTTGATAGTAACCAGTTGCTACTGAGTTGATTCCAACTCACGACAACTTCCATGTGTGTCAGGGTCAAACTCTGCGCCATTAGGTTTTCAATGGTGGATTATCAGTAGATTGTCAAGATTTTCATCCAAGGTGCCTCTGGGTGGACTTAAACCTTCAACATTTTGGTTAGCAATCTGTACCAGCCAAGGATTCCAATGTTGATAGCTGATATTATATTTTTGGGTGGCTTTATTTTAGATGCTTTTATTTGACAGTTAATAGTGGCCAACTCTATTTGCTCCTAAGACTTTACTGACCTCAAACCATTTCTGAGTTTGAGAACTACTGGCCTAGTATGTATGCTCTGCCGTGCTCACTGAAATGGGCACACGCATAGGAAGTGAAGGGTCTGCCTTCCTTCTCTAGCCCCTTCCCCTCAAGGTCTCTGGATGTTACTCCCACCAGTGTGTCAACTTGGGTTTTGATAAGTGTGCCCACCATCCTCCACCAAAACTCACTTGTCTTTGATCTTTTCCTTGCTACAGTGTGTGAGGTAGGTGTCTGCTCCCTGTCTCCTAAGAAGTGATCTAAGGAATGCAGATAAAGGCCACAATGAGTGATACCAGATGAACATGGTCTCCCTTCTCCCCAGGGGCCTGCACCTTCAGTAGAGTTGATGTTGTTGTTGTTGTTAGGTGCCATCGAGTCGGTGGAGTAGTAAATTTTAATTCAAACCAGTGAACTGTAATGGCGGAACTTATACCTTCCCACATGTCAGGGGCCTTCTTCTGAGCTCAGAGCACACCTTCGAATGATGAACACAAAGTTGAGTCTGTCTAATGAATCAAAATCTCACACTGTACTATGAAAAGAGACTTTGAGCCTTTCATTCTTTGACCCTCTTCCAGGCAGAATCACTTAGTACATCCTGCTATTCCCTACTCTGGGCCACAGAACAACCTGAACATCTCTTTTAGAAGATAAGCCAAGATGTCGGGGCAGTTTTCCACATGCCTACTTGCCCCTCACAGAAATGGGTGTTTCTGCCCACTTCTAAATTTTCAGGGCCACAGGTGGGTCTGAAGTACACGGTAGGAGTGGAATGGACAATGGATAACACACAAAAAAGACCCAAATCTGTGCCCCTGGAGTCAATTCTGACTCATGGTGATTCCATGAGTTACAAAGTAGAGCATTATCTTTAGCTCTAATCTTTACAGAACTAGATTGCCAGACCTTTTTTCCACGTCATTGATGGATGCATTTGAACGGCTGTTCTCTGTGTTAAGAGCTGAGTGCAAACCATCTGTGCCACCCAGGAGAGCAGAGATGCCCTAGAGCAATTGGATATACTAAGTCAATAGCTCAGTCCCCTGTGTGGTACCTACGCATTGACCACACTTCAATAAACTCACAAGCTTAAAGCTCACACGACTTTGAAAACTCCAATTTCACGAATTCTCATTATAAACAACCAAAGGGAACCATCTGGATCCCTGAAGAGCAACTGAAAGTCTGCAAGCAATGAGCAAGCGAGGACAGAAACCCCAGAGAAACCCCAAAGGAAGACAGGTGGAAACAGCAGGGATACTGTGAAGCCTTTTGGAACTTCCTTTGTCCTGAGATGGCCACCAATTTCCCCTCCATATACGTAAACAACAACAAAACCTCGTAGTCTACTTTGATCTGACAGAAAATACATGAATAGTATCTAGGACAAAGCCACCAAATCTTTTGTCTCCTTGGACGTGTGATAGAATAAATGGTTTCCCACATCACACGGGAGGATTTTGTTTTAAGAGCTTTGTTTCTGTGGAAGTGGAACAGAGGTAGTAGGGAGATCTGTCAAACAAAGAAACCTTAAAATACTTTAATGTTAAAGCAGTCGGAAGAGAGAGGAGCATTTTCTTGTAGCCAATGATCTCGAAGTTGGGTCTCTGACCAGCAGCATCAACACCAGCCAGGAGCCCATTACCAGTAAACCAGTTTCTGTGGAAGCCACAGGACTCCTGGTGACCCGTGTGCGTCAGAGACCTGTGCTCCGGAGGGTTTTCAATGGTTGATTTTTTTTTTTCTTCCTACGTGTGTCTCTGGCTTGGGACTCAAACCTCCAACCTGTGGGTTAGCAGTTGAGGGCTAACAGTTTGTTCCATCAAGGGACTCCAGGATCCTATTGTTGTTAAGTACCGTGGAGTGGGTTCCGACTCATAGTGATCCTGCACAGGGTTTCCGAGGCTATAAATCTTTACGGGAGCATTAGAAAGCCTCATCTTTCTCCCGTGGAACCGCTGGTAGTTTCAAACTGCTTACCTTTAAGTTGGCAGCCCAACTTGTAACCACTATGGTACCAGATCCTGTTTGTTGCTGTTGTTATGTGCCGTGGCATAGTGACCCCTGTACAGGGTTTCCGAGGCTGTAAATCTTTATGGGAGCAGAAAGCCTCATCTTTCTCCCGCGGAACAGCTGGTAGTTTCGAACTGCTGACCTTGCAGTTCGCAGTCCGATTTGTAACCACTACGCTACCAGAGCTCAGATCCTGTTTGAAAGGCAAATTCTCAAATTTCATCCCAAACCAAACTTACTCACGCAATTCATGACGACCTCTTGTGTTTTACAGTAGAACTGCACCCCATAGGGTTTCATGACTGCTGTACTGCTAGCTACAAGATTATTGCTCCGCAGGAGAAATATGAGACTCACTAATAATCGGAATCGACTCAATGGCAGTGGATTTGGTTCAGGTTAACCTTTTGGAAAGGAGCTCTGGTAGCGTTGTTAAGTGCCGTCAAGTCGGTTCCGACCCATAGCGACCCTGTATAGGGTTTCAGAGGAGCATCTGGTGAGCTTGAACCGCCAATCTTGCAGTTCAAACAGCTTTGCAGTCTGGCACATTAACCCACAACTCCACATATGAATTGGGCTGCTATCCTCAGGGTCCGCAGTTCGAAACTACCAGCTGTTCCGCGGGAGAAAGATGAGGCTTTCTGCTCCCGTAAAGATTTATAGCCTCGGAAACCCTGTTACAGGGTCCCTTTGAGTTGGATCCGATTCCACGGCACATACAACAACCTTTTGGTTACTGTTGCTAAGTGCTTTTCAGTGATTTCCTACACATACGGACCCTGTATGGCATTTCCGACAAGCAACTGGGGGTTTGAACCCCCCACCTGTGGTTAGTAATCCACTGCTTACCCTACAGCGCCACACCAGGACTCCATGTGCTTAACCATTTTGCATCCCCCAGGAACTCCAACCCTCACACAGGGCTTACTGAATGAGAAATTCCAGGGTAGAGGCCCAGAAACCTGTGTGTAACACGTCCTCTAGGTGACGCTGGTGGACACTCCAATGAGACAAGCGTCAGTGTAAAGTTTTGCCTGTGGATGGGAGCGAGGGCCTTGACTTGGTGCCACAGCCCTTAGGTGACCTAAAAAAAAAAGTAAGGGGTGACTCAGCCCGGAGCTGGCGTACCTGGTATGGCCAGGCCTGTCCTGAAATGCTCAGGGCACGTCCAGGCTGAAGAGCCCCGAAGCTCTTCGAACCAACCTTGTCTCTCGTCTGTGTCTTCCCCTATTCCACTTTTGCTGTGACTTGACCGACGATGGTGTCGTCTCCACTGGGGAAGGACTGTGTCCCCTTAGACTCACAAATCCACCAGTGCTAACAGAAGCTTGTGCGAACTTTCTAAGGCGGGTTAACTGTTTCTGAGCAGCCGCCGCGGGGCCCAGCAGTTGACAAGCCGCTAGACACAGCCGAGCGCTAATATGGGCGACGGGGGGGCTGGCGGCCAGCTGGGGGTCCAGCCACCGGGGCGCCTCTCTCCTCTCGTTCTGGCGGCAGAACCCAGGTCGGCAAAGAGCCAGTCGCAACCTGCGTCCCCAAGGCCAAAGATGTGCTTGGATTTTTTAAAAAGCTGTTGGAGCACTTCAAGGGACTCGGCCCTTTCATTTGGGGCTTGAGTGCAATTGTATTGGCCTAATTCATTCATTTTCTTTTGGGTTCAAAGTGGAAGCCCCGGAGCAGGGATGCAAATCAAATACAAACCCGCTCTGGGCGCCAATACCCTGGACAATTAAAACAAAGAGCGTGGCGGCTGTGGCGGCGGCACCGCACTAAAACCCTCGGGAAACATCCAGAATGTGGCGCGAACCAGCCAGCAGGGTGGGGCGCTGGCCGAGCAGAAAACCTGCCAGAAGGCGGCGGCCCCACCCCTGCAGGTGGCCAGGTGGAGGTGGCCAGGGGTCAAAATCCATCCTGGAGAACCGACAGCTGGGCCTCTGCGTGGCGCAAGTCCAGGGGGCACCAGTCGCCCTGCGGGAATGGCGCCCCCGCCAGTAAAAGCAACAAAACAAAAACCCATTGCACGGGCGGGAACTGGGCTGAGCGCGAACGGCTGAAGCGGGCGGGAGGGTGGGAGCGAGACGGAGATGGCAGCGGGGAGGCTGGGGGAGATAGGGCGCAAAAACAACTGAGAGAAAAGGGAGAAAGTAGAAAAAGCGGAGGGTAACATGGGAGAGGGGTGAGTGGGAGAAGAGGGGAGTGGAGAAAAGGGAAACGGGGGTTCAGAGCGGGCCGCGCTGCGAGGCCGAGCGCGGGAGGGGGAGGGTAGGGGAGGAAAGGGAAGGAGGTTCGCCAGGAGCCGGATCGGCCGGGCGGGGGGCGGTGGCCGGTGGCCAGGGGGGCGGGACCCGGTCGATCCCCACCTGCGTGGGCGCCGGTAGTCCTGAGGGGTAGCCGCCAGGAGCAGGAGGGAGTCGGGAGGCGGGCTGGGCAGGGAAGCAGAGGGGAGGGAGGGGACCG